GAGCCAATCCATGGAAATGAGTCCATCTCTAAGCCTGGAAGGTAACCCGGGCTTATGGTGTTCGGGTTGCCACTAGTCTCTATCTGGCCAGTAATTCTAGCTTTTTGTGTTTTTGAATTTTGTTCCACATTTTTCCTCCCATTCTATCCAGGATCTCCAGTTTTGAATGGAAAAGTCTTCTGCCTGTCTTCTATGCCAGTCTCATATTTATTTTGGGTTTATGGAAGCAGAAACCTTGTTTCTTTAGTTCATATCTACAGATTAAGAGTTATAGATTAGCATCTAATTGATTCCAAATCATGGCAATCCATGTGTGCAGAGCACAGCTATTCTTCAGCTTTTTCAAGGATTTCAGAAGCAGACCATAAAGCCTGTTTTCTGAAGTACTTCAAGGTGGGTTGGAACAGTCAAGTTTTTTGTCTATTAATCGAGTATTTAACTGCACTTCTCAAGGACCTCCTGAATAATGGTTAAGTGTAACCAAAGGAAAGGACCCAAAGAGCCACATCTGCACCTGTATCTAATTTAGCTTACAAATTTCTCTATATTAAGCTTGGGCTTGATGTTGCATTAGGATGAGAGTTTTTAGGGCACAGTAGGGGAACTGTGTGTATTTCATGTAAGAAGAAACACAATTTGTGGCCAATGCAACTGTTAGGCACATTTCTCATTAAGGGATTATGTCTATGTCCCCTCTCATTGCAGGTGAATAGGGTTATTCCTGCTCTGACAATGGAAACAGCAGATACTACGTTTGATGCTTCTAGATTATAGAAGGCAATGAAATTCTTTCCTTTTTTTATTAAGAAACTCATTCCTGGCTCTTTGAACCATCATATTACGAAGATGCCAACAACACATGGAAAGGCCACATGTAGTCTTTCTGGTGAATAGTCTCAGCCCAACCCAGTCTTTGTTTCATAATTTTTATTGCCTGCTAAACAATATAAATTTCACATTGGTGAGGGATGGATTTTGTTATCTTTCTTTAAAAGGTATTGTCAATTTTTCTGGCAGGCAGTTAATTGCTTGTGACCCCTTAACTGTTTCAAGGATTCTTGCAAACTTTTGTGGGCAAACCTAAATTAGATTTTTCCTAGGGCAAATTCAGTCTTATTGTTAGAACTATGTCTTTTCTTGACTTTATAATTTCTTGGCCATAGATGTTCAATGAAGATTCTGTTTTGTCTTTTCTGAACTTAAAAGTCTGCTAGCCCTTTGTTTTTTGTTTTTTTTTTTTTTTTAATTTACAATTTCCTTGTTCTTTTCTTGACCTTGTATAGTTCAGTCTTATGCACGTATGATTCAACATGCAGAAGCAGTCTTTGTGGTGCGTGCTTAAGTGCTCGACTACTAGCCAGCCCCTCCACAGGAGAGAAATGTCTTAGTCTCCTTCCATAAAGATTACAGCCTTGGAAACCCTATAGGGCAGTTCTACTCTGGCCTATAGGTTGGCTGTAAGTCAGAATTGACCGGATGGCAATGGGTTTTGTTTTGGTTTAGCAGACTACATGGGATATTTATGAAAATATTTGCCTCAGTCTGGGACTCATTTACTACCTAACTTCTTCAACACCATTTCTCTGTCCCTCAAATTACAGTGACTTCAGCTTTTTCTACCTCTTATTTCTCCCTCTCAATTCAACAAGATCAACATACTCTTCTTGTGTTTTCTCGCCCAACAAAATGACCAGTAAAATGTTTCCAGGCAGGAAAACAGGGCAATTGTGGAGTTTATCACATTTTCTTCCTTCTCTTAGGGAACACAGCCCTGTGCTGCTTGTTATCCAATGTTTGAAGAAGAAATATTTCATATATTTTGTCTCGTCTTCAAGAGATTTATAATAGAAGTGTTAATGCAATCCCAGTTACTCCCTAATGACTCCCATTTAAATTTGAAGTTTAATAATTTATCCAAACTTTTGGCACAGATCTGTACATATAATAGGTGCACTCCAAAATATATTTATTTATAAAATAAAAATATTGGTATCAAAAATATGGAAAATTTTGTTACACATTTTATTATTTATTAAAGTGCCAGTAGAACTATTGTAAGCAAGTAACATATTGCAGGATGTTACTACAATGTTTTTACAAATTCCAATAATTTAAGAAATTTGGTGTTTATATTTAATGAAGACGCTACTATGAAATTCAAATCTAAAATTCAAATACTTAGACCCCATTTAACATAAAATTTAAATAAGAAATTTAGACTACCAAATATTATTTTGTTACAGGGTTGAGGAAAGGAAAGATGACGTGCTGAAATATGTTTTTCTTTATTTGAAAAACAACCAAAGCGGGAGAGTTCCTTTTTTTTTTTTTTTTTTTTTCCAAATTGGGGAACAATTTCTAACTATTCCATAATGGCATTTCTTCCCTTATGTAATAACATAATATTGTACATTTAATCATACTTGCTTATGCATTTCACTTTGATATGTGTCTTTCTGGAAAAAGAAACAAAGTTTACTGCATTTTCACAGGTAGCCTCAGAAATCTATTAAAAATAGTAATGTTGTTGTTGTTGTTGTTGTTATGTGCCGTAGAGTCAGCCCCGACTCATAGCGACCCCTCCTTGGGTTTCCGAGGCAGTATCACTACGGAAGTAAGATTGCCCAACCTTCCTTCCGAGGAGTGGCTGGTGGGTTTGAACCGCCAGCCTTCTGGTTAGCAGTCAAGTGCTTTAGCCACTATGCTACCAGAGCTCCTAAAAATAGTAATAGCAAACATAAATATAAACAAAAGTCTCAGTTCAGCAATTACATAAGTATTTTTAAAATATTTTCTTGGTGTGCCACAACATGATCGCAGGTGTGTTGTCTATGCCTATAAGGAATCTGATGAGTTCTATATTTAAAATTATAATTGGTCTCAACAAGGAAAAAACCTATGGTTTTTAAAAATTTTTAACTATTCCCAAAAGGCACTAGGTCTTTCTGTACTTCTTTCCTTCTGACTACCTCACCAACGTAGATTTTTTTCATTTCTTGATGCCCTCATATTTGCATCACTATTTATAATTTCTCACTGATTTAGTGTTATGTAGCACTCATAATCCAGCTGCCAGAGCCAAAAACTGAGAAAAAGTTGGGAAAACCTAAGACATTGCAAGAGATCCTTAAAAGAATTGAACAGTCCAATTTCCTTCAAGAAATAGAGAAATCTTGCTACGGAAAAATTCACAGGCAATTTCCTTAACGTATTATCACATTCCACAATCAAATTCCTTATGCAGTTGTTGGGTTGTTTTAGGAAATACAGGTGGCACTATTAATCACAGTGTTTTCTTCAGTACCTTCAAAGTAATTACACAAGTTGGATTTTGTATTTTGTCAACATATGGTATGTTGAGAAACTATGATAAAAGACAATAGGTATTGTAAATTTAATGCACACTTCGTCCTGTAAATCATGTAGCACTTTTTCTTCTGAAACACATATTCCAAACTTCAACCTTTAACTGTACAAGTAAGTAGCTATTATGATCTCATGAGACATAGGAGAAACAAGAACATTTGTCTGGATTAAAGAACAACAAAAAAATGAAAACTGGTATGAAATCTTAATTCAGAAGAGAGTTAACATTTCCAAAAGAAGCTGGTTTTTGATATTTGAAGTTTTGAAAAAAAAATTACAAAAACAATTATAATGAAACATCAGACTTTTCTTCTGCTGAAGTGAGGAAATTTTGTTTTGTGCTTTGTGATCACAAAACTTTCAATGAATTAACAGTCTCCTCAAACCCATCAGCCACTCCTGGGAAGGAAGACTGGGCAATCTACTCCCTTAGAGACACCACCTCTGACAACCAAGGAGTGGTTGCTATGAGTCCAACTGGAGGCAGTGAGTTTGGTTTATTCAAATCATCATGTAATGTTTTAAAACACAAATATTGACTAGACAATATCAGTACCACATAAATTATTATTTAATATATTTTATCTTGTTGCTAATTTGGGAATTGCTTTTTTAAATATGGTTTGATGCTGAGCTAGTAAAATATTTTCAGATATCATTGATTTACAAAGAAAGGTAGTACAACATAAGAGTGAAGAGCTCAATCTTCAGAGACACATTATGTTTCAAACATTGGTTCTAGCATTACTGTATGTGTGATTTGGGCAAATTGTATAGCCTCTTTGTAGCTCATAGCATCTACCTTTTTGTGTTTTCTTGTTGTTGTTGTTGTTATGTGCTGTCAAGTCAGACCAGACTCATAATGACCCCTCCTTGGGTTTCTGAGGTAGTATCACTATGGAAGTAGATTGCCCCATCTTCCTTTCCAGGAATGGCTGGTGGGTTTGACCACCAGCCTTCTGGTTAGCAGTCAAGTGCCTTAGCTACTATGCTACCATTGTGTTTTCTGTTGTTGTTGTTGTTGTTGTGTGCCATCGAGTTGGCCCCGACTCATAGCGACCTCTCCTTGGGTTTCTGAGGCAGTATTACTATGGAAGTAGGATTGCCCAACCTTCCTTCCGAGGAGTGGCTAGGAAGGTTAAATTTGTAAATAAATGTAAAGTGCTTAGAACAAATACCCAGGAATTAGTAAGCACAAAAGCACTACAAGAATTTGCTATAATTATATTATTTTGCTGTTATAATTATCCTGACAACCAGCACTGCATCCTATTTAAACATGATTATTAATTAATATATCTGAAAAATAAGTAAGCAGTATCTTGACGGTGGGAGAAGCTTTCAAGAAGTCATAACCAACTTAGAAGGCAAAAGCCCGCAAGCTCGAGCCTGGAGCCGGGCGGGGGCGCGGCACTCGATTTCCTTCCCTGCCGCCTTCGTCCACCTTGTGCGCATGCTCAGCCGCGCTCGACCCTCGCCTTTGATTTATTTTTGCAGGAGGCTGCAGCGGCCCCGGCAGCTTTGGAATGGGAAGTGAAGCGCCCGGATCCGCGGCGGCAGCGGTGGCGGCGCTGTAAGGAGCAGCTAGGGGGAGGCAGCTGCCGCTCGTTGGTGAGTATCTGGGAAGCGCCACCATGGCGATACGCAAGAAGAGCACCAAGAACCCCCCAGTCCTGAGCCACGAATTCATCCTGCAGAATCATGCGGACATTGTCTCCTGTGTGGGAATGTTCTTCGTGCTGGGACTGATGTTCGAGGCAACAGCAGAAGCATCTATCGTTTTTATCACTCTTCAGCATAGTGTTACTGTTCCTGCAACAAAAGGACAGGCCACTGAATCCAGGTCCCTTTATAATTATGGTGTCAAAGATTTGGCCACAATTTTTTTCTATATGCTAGTGGCAATAATTATTCACGCAACAATTCAGGAGTATGTGTTGGATAAAATCAATAGGCAAATGCAGTTTCCTAAAACGAAACAGTGCAAGTTTAATGAATCTGGTCAGCTTAGTGTATTTTACCTTGTTTCTTGTATTTGGGGCACGCTCATTCTAATCTCTGAAAACTACATTTCAGACACTAGTGTCTTATGGAGGGCTCGTCCCCATAATATGATGACATTTCAAATGAAGTTTTTCTATATATCACAGTTGGCTTACTGGGTCCATGCTTTTCCTGAACTCTACTTCCAGAAAACCAAAAAACAAGACATTCCTCGTCAACTCATCTACTGTGGTCTTCACCTCTTTCACATTGCTGGAGCTTACCTTCTGTACTTGAATCATCTAGGACTTATTCTTTTGGTGTTGCATTATTTTGTTGAATTACTTTCCCACATGTGTGACCTCTTTTATTTGAATGACGAGAAGTATGAAAAAAGGTTTTCTCTGTGGGCAGTTGTGATTATTTTGGGTAGACTGTTGATTTTAATTGTTTCAGTACTTGCTGTTGGCTTTCATCTTGCTGGATCGGAGACTCAGAAGCCGGATATCATTGCTGGAAACTTCAATGTGTTGGCTGCAAAAATTGCTGTTCTGTCTTCCAGTTGCACTATCCAAGCATTCATAACATGGAATTTAATTACTGTCCAGCTTTACAGGTGGTGGGAACAATCTACCTTTGAGGCCCCATGCATGAAGAAGAAAAGGACAACTACTAAAGGAAAATCTAGAAAAGGAACAGAAGATGGAGTGGAAACTTCAAATAAAGCAGACTCTTCCGGAAGTAGGAAAGAGAAATAATCATAATGAATTGCGAGCTAATTGATCAATACCCCCAAAGAAATCTCCTTAGTATAAGATATCTTTCTGAACTAGAGATTTTCCTGTTTTGGAAAATGGTGTGTGTGCTGTTTGAGGTTTGCCATTGTACTATTTCATGTATCCCCCACCCCCCCCCCGCCACCCCCCCACCCCCCCACCCCCGCCAAGCATTGGGGAACTAATATGATCAGTGGAAACATTTTGATTTATGTGAAGCTAAAACTCCCAACTCACTGCCTGTGGAGTCTGACTCATAGTGACCGGGTTTCAAGTTGATATCACTGCAGAAGTAGATTGCCCAGTCTTCCTTCTGAGTAGTGGCTGGTGGGTTTGAACTGCCAGACTTCTGGTTACCAGTCAAATGCCTTAGGCACAATGGCCACCAGAGCTCCTTGATTTATGTGAAGCTACTCTTTTTCAAAATAGGGACCATGACACTATATATATATATATATATATACACATACACACACACATATGTATATATGTGTTTTTTAAACTGAACATTTTCCCATTTTCCTAATGATTTGGATAGATAACTACAAACATTCCACGTATCAGTAATATAATTTTTGTTCCCACCAATTTTTTATAAAGAGGATCTGTTCCAGCAACATTATGTTTTTAAAGTTCTCTTTCGGGGTCAGGTAGAAATACTGTAAGGGAAGAAGTCAAAAGTCAGCTATGTTTTCAGTATGATCTAATTCTTAGGATTTTTTTTTTTTTTTTTTGGCATACTTTACAACTGGAGAGAACATTTGTGAAACCATAGGAATAACTATGCTTTATTTTATAAGTAGTAGTTGTTAATGTTACATCCCTATTCAAAACAAAACAAACTTACATACTAGAGATAAAAATGTGTGTAGATTTATTGACATATACATTGAATCAAAATATCTTGAATTAATATAAAAGTAATATAGAAGAAGTAAAGTCATTCTTGTCATTTTAAGCACTTGTAAACTGGAATTCAGAAAATTAAATATTTAATGTAAAGAGGAATATCAGACTTAAATAGCATTTTTCCGATGTGTATTGATGTTGATTCTTAATGGGATTTGTCATACACTTGGTGTGCACAGCATCCTGGAAAAAAATTGTAAACCATTTTGAAAATTGATGCTTACTTGATTTGTTGTTCTTGTTATGTGCCGTGGAGTCGGACGTGACTCATAGCGACCCCTCCTTGGGTTTCCAAGGTCGTATCAATACGGAAGTAGATTGTCCAACCTTCCTTCTGAGGAGTTGCTGGTGGGTTTGAACTGCCAACCTTCTGGTTAGCAGTCAAGTACCTTAGGCACTATGCTACCAGAGCTCCTTTACTTGATTTATATTTATAAAAAAAATTGGCTACTGACGTTTGGAAAATATTTAATGCACTAGCCTTAAATTGGGAGCTCTGGTAGCATAGTGGCTAAGGAACTTGACTGCAAACCAGAAGGCTGGCTGTTCAAAGCCACCAGCCACTCCTCGGAAGGAAGATGGGGCAATCTACTTCCGTAGTGATATTGCCTGAGAAACCCAAGTTGGGGTCGCTATGGGTCGGGTCCGACTTGAAGGCACATAACAACAACAACAACCTTAAATTGAAAATCAGCTGGAAAAAGTCTTATGTAAGACTTTAAAAAGTAATGTTAAAATTAAGCTTTGCTTTCATGTTTGAGAAAAATATTTGTGTAAGACATTTTGAGAAATTATATAATATATAAAAACTAAAAAACTAAACTCACTGCTGTTGAGCTCTGGTGGCATAGTGCCTAAGGCATGTGACTGCTAACCAGAAGGCTGGTGGTTCAAACCCACCAGCCACTCTGTAGAAGGAAGATTGGACAATAGACACATTGGTCTATTGGTCTGTTGTAGTAATTTATGTTTATATGTTGATATTTTTAAGTAGACAGTACTTTAGAAAAAGAAATATTCCAGGGCAAGGCCATACATTTCCTATACCTCTATGTCACCTCCTATATAATCTGCCCCCAAATTGAATTTAGTAAACTTGCATTGCAGGCTCAAGACAGAAGAGCCATTCTTCTTGTCAAAACTTTCTTTTCTACTTTTAAAGGTAAGTAGCAAAGCTAAGTTACCTCTTTTTTGGTTGTGGATTATATCATATATATATATATACATTTTTTTTTCCTCTCACACTTATATAATACTGTAATGTTGGTAGGACATGATAAGAGGTTCAAAGTATGGTGACTCACTTTTTAATTAAATGTGATATTGTAAAACCTCTCATTTAATAGAGGGGTCTTTCTTCCTTCTCTTTTAGTGGATTTTAGCATATTATTTTTAAACCCACTCTGATAGTAAATTTCTTACCCATTTTGTATTTCATTTGCACATAATACAGACCTGACTCACACTGGCAAAAGACTACAGTGAAACTATTGCCTCACATGTCTGACAATGCTGAGAGTTATATTGGGTTTGGCATTCAATATGACTAAGGCCTAGATCTATTTTTTCTGGAATTTCCTTTACTGTGATCTCTCACATTGACTTCTCACTTGGCAGCAAACAACAGCAATGAGTCTAGTCTTTGTATCTACTATATGGTGCAGAAGAAAAGAGAAAAACTGATTTGTAGAATTCCCAGGATACTGAGAATTACCTTCAGTGAGCTCTATTCATAAAGGGGTGTTCTGAGCTCTTGATTTAACTGTGGTTGTATCACTTGCGAAACAGAAGGCTCTTCTTTAATGGTTTCACAAGAGGTAGTAGGGTTATTGTGATGAAAAAGAGGGAAAGGATGTTGAGTACACTTCAGCTACACATAGGAGTTTAATAAATATTGCCAGAAAATAAACATAAAATATCAAATGTTATAACTGAAATTCAATTCAACATATCCATATGGTTGTCTCTGTATTTTCTAAAGTAAACTCTCAAATAACTCATGCTATAACAAATCCCAGTGTATAGATTTGATCTTTGTAAACATGACCATCTGGAAACATACATTTTTTACTATAATTTTTCCAAGTGGTGTTAAAGCAGGTATCAGTTAACACCATATAAGTTCAGATAACTGATCAATCACTTCAAGTTTCAAAAATCATAAAGATGTAATGTGTTTATGAATTCACAGATTGTTTTCCATTCTTGCTAAACTAAATAATTCTGCAGACATAGGTTTCCTATGATGAATTTAAAGTATACTTTTCTTTCAAAAGTACTCTGCTAACATTTAATTAAAATATATCCCATCTTTCTTAATAGATACTATGAATCTGTTAATCATATTTTTTAAGGGACAAGCAAGTTTTAGGCACTATTCTCCTATTCAGTGTAGCTCTCCATATTTTACTAAGAAAGCAGGACTTTGTTAAGATATTTCTTAATTTGTTTCTCATCTGTATTTATCTGTAGAGAAACCGTGTGTGGGCTATAGTGTATTGACTTGGGTAGGTCCAATATGATTAAAATTACCAAATTGATAATCTGATGCTTTCTTGAAGACAAAAAAATTGTGATATTCTTTAACTTGGAAAAACAAGGGTAAAGTTTTAAGTTATCACTCAACTCTACCAAGTGAGAAGACTATCTATAATAACAGAAGGCTTATCACTGATGTTTTGCACAGGAAATGTCACCTTGGAGTAATTCCTGAGAAAATGTTCCTAGGGGAAGCATCCTTGAGAGTGTGGATGTGGAGTGAGCTAGAATTTGGCTCCTTGTAATTCAACAAAGAATGTATTCCAGTTAGGAGAGCAAACTAATGTAATCCAGATATAGAGTAGTAACTTTCCTGGCTATAGAGGATACATACTGTTGGTGAGTATATGAAAATAACTGTGGCTTAATTACCAGTAAATTCATAAATACTCTCATCTCTTGCATTTCTCTGGAAATAGAGGAGATTTTTTTCACTGCAGACTTTCAATCAAAACTACATCCTGTAAGAAACTACCCACTCTAAATAACACACAGTACTACTTGCTGTTTCCTCTCAATTATGTAGAAAATTTATTACAAATCCCTCATACATAAAATGTTTCCTAAGTATTAAGTCGGAATTCTCCTGATAACTATACAGTGATATCACTGTCTAAATGCCACCCTCTAAATCCATATTAGAAAATCCTTTTTAGGCCCTTTACCACACCTGGTGTTGTGAGTACTCAATAAATGTGGAATCAGTCAGACATTAAGAAATCTGCTCCTAAGGTGATCAATACACTTCTTTTCCTGATGGGTAACATTATTATGTTTCAGGTTATTGGATTATGTCAGCTAATCTTTTTTTCTTTATAATTTGAAAAATACATTAATAATAAACTGACCACTTACAGAAAATTTGCATAACTGAAGAGGAGACAATAGAATATATGTAGTTAAAGGGTCATTTGAATAAAAAAAATGAACAGGATTAACTTCACTGTAATGATGTGTTCATCCTCAGTCTAGCCTAAAATTGCCGAGGGTCCCTCTTAAGGCATGCTGCATCTCTGTAATTCAGGCAGAAATATCTGTTGTAAACAAAGGGCAAATGAATTTCCCAAACTAAAAGCAAAAAATGCTCAATTTCAAAACAGCTGGTACCAATCAAATCATGCTAGTACACAGAATCTCATGACATGAAACATTTCCTGGTGCCCACCTCAACATCCTAGACTAAAATTACTTAGATCCCAAGATAGATGTAATATTTTTTTCTTTACTTTATTGCTTAAAGAAAACAGCTTTTTTCATTCCTCAAACTGAAATAAATTAAACTAGTAAGTACAAAGTTGTCAATACAAATATTAAAATATAACTCTGAAAATCCATGCATTCCAGTTTTAAAGATGTTTCCAGTTATATGGATATAAATTCTGCAGAGGAAGGTGATAATATGCTTATAGATAATGGTTAACAAAAGAAATCAGGACCAAGACTATGCTCTGGCATTTATAGCTGTGTGATCTTTAGGAGCTTTGGTAATGTAGTGCCTAAGACACTTGATTGCTAACCAGAAGGCTGGCAGTTCA